GTTCCACTGTCGATTCGGAATCGACAATTTAATTACTCTCACTGGTTGACGTTTCTTTTTTCCGAATTTTTCCTCCCTCGACTGAATTTACAGTTCCAACGGACGTGAAATTGACCTCGCGGATGTCCCAGAAGCACTGGATTGCAATTGGCAATTGTAATTAGACAGTGTTTAATGAAAATGTATCCGTTATGCCTAGAGGAAAAAAAAGGGTGATTAATTCCACAAAAAAAAACCATTGTGTCTAGACAATTTCGATTGTAAATCTATTTTTACTTTAAATGCTTCAATTACTCCAAAAATTGAATAGTTTTATGTTTTTAACAAAAGATAAAGATATATCGAATTACTATATATTATTAATGTATATTTGCCATATTTTCTGAGGTAATTCGATAGTTTTATTACACTGTTGGAAATTTATTGGAATTTCAGTTAAAAAGTCATTTGAATCGTCAATAGATTCGAAATTCAAAAAAATTATTACCTGAATTTACAAAACCTTCACGATTTTTCAGTGCGATCGAATTTATTTTTCATCGAAAAATAAAGAATTACTTGAATATCCCAGAAATCAATTGATTTCTCAATGAATTCTAAAGAAATTTCATGACACTTATTGTGGTTGTTAGAAATTTCGCATTCGAATTTTTTACTTAAAATTTTAAATATAATTTTGCGAAAATTAATTTAAATCGAAAATATCTAAAGACCTTTTCCAAAGGCTGAATACTGTGCGAAAAAAATCAATAAAATTTTCACGTGCAATCGATAATTTTCGAGATGATAAATAAAAAAAATCAAACTTTCATCAAAATGTTGTGACAGTTTAAAATATTTTAAACGTTTTTTCCTGAAACTTTTGAGGCACGTCTGAGAGCTACAAGTGGATTTCCCCTGAATATTCAAATACCATTGAATCGACACATACATGTACAAATGCGCATATAGTCCTCGCATTGACGATTCCCCATTGAATTCGCAACACCATATTTGCACAGTGAAAATATGTCGCTCCAGTTGTATCTGGGTTGGTGGATGAAGCACGAAAAACCGAGTTCAATTCTGGGTGGGTTTTCACGTAAAACCTCAGGGGGTTCGTTCGGTTGGCCTCTCTATGAGAGATCTGCAAATAATCCTTGAGTGGATGAGAAACCCACCCCCCGTGTGGCACAACCCTCACGTTCAAAATCCCTCCCACGATTCACTCAATTTTCTCGGAAATCCAACTCTGTACAGCCGCTTATAGTTGCCTTCATCGACAATTTCACAAAAAAAAAATAAACAATTCATATTTCCATGTTAATTATATCGCACTCCATTGTTATCCACTTCCATGCATATTTTTTCAACCTGCATCAATAATTAAACATATAAAATCATCTTCGAAACTTTCATCATCAATTAATATGCATTTTCCCTTGTTTCCAATTTCCATTTTATGGAGGTAATTAATTAAACGAATTGGATATCTGCGGATATATTCAGTACCGGATTATTTTGATTGTTTAAAATTTCGTTTTTAGGAATATTTATGTTTGTTGGTCAATTATCCAACAAGGGGGTATTACGAAAAATACTGAGAAAAAATTTTGTCCAGGATTCATTTACTTGAGAGAAGTATGTACTTTCATAATGAGCATATTTCTCCAGGTAATCACGACGAGGTGTTAATAATCATGATCTTATCGCTCGAAGAATTGAAATAAATTAATAATAATTAGTCGAGTTTATTCAAAGCCACATCTCACAAAATCATCGTGTAAAGCAATTTGATGATTATAATTTAAACCTAATCCTAATTATTTGGGAATTACTCAATTAGAGAAATAACGTTTTGAAAAAATACATACTTCTTTCACGCAAATGGATCTTTCGGAAAAAACAAAAATTTTTTTGTTCAGCGAGTTGGAGATTTGAATATTAATGCGTTCAATCGGCCAGGATGGATGGGGATTCGCGAATGCTTCAATTAACGGTGGGACAAAGAGGATTGTTGAGAGGGAATTAACGCAGGTATTGAAATATCGATCGCTAGGGAGAATTTCTAATTGCGTGAGAATCGGCGAGTGGAAATTCTCTTGAAATATTCCCTCGAGATTGGGAAAAAAGATCTATAGAGTCAGTCTTATGATTCTAACCGCGAATATCGATATGTTTTTATGAATTGTTCTCGTATACCTTTGGTATTGGTTATATATTTATATGACTAATTATTGTCAATTGTCAATAGAATTATATCATTAATGCAGAAGTAAAATTGCGGCGGAATGAGTAAGCTGTATATGAGTACTATTGATAGACCGCATTGCGCGGTATTTCGATGTTCCGATTTCGATCAATATTCTAATGGACCATTTAATAAATATTGGAGTTAATTCAATTTCTGGCTGCATGGTTCAATGAATGGAACATTTCCAATAGTATGGATATTGATATTCAATTGCATCCATTAAATTGCAAACAAATCTGGAATATTGGGAAGTTATTTCACATTTCATTTTCGGGTCCTCGCCGTTTATGGAGGTTTCATTGTCATTTATGTCCAACATATGGGAAATTAACGGTCAGTTTATCGGGCCGAGTCAATTTTCAAATAAATCATTTCTACCGTCGGGGATTATTATTATTATTATTATTTACTGCAGGGGGCCTGATCCAAGATTTTTGGAGAAGGAAAGAAATTTTTTCCACACACAATTTTTTACCATATAATCAGAAATTCCACATATATCATCCCCATTCAGCCGGTAATTCACGATTTCACATTTATGGTACACATAAATAATAATAAAACTCTCAGAGAAGTAACAAATTTCGAATAGACATTTTTCTTTCGATCGTAGATCTCAGGGTTAAGGGGATATAAAAAATCCACTTTGGAAAATATATCGTGGAGTGCCTGGCACCAGTCCAATTACACATATATTATGTGTATATTTCGGGAAATGCACCATGTTACCTGCTACTATATATTTTTGCTGTATACTCTTCGACGAGAGGCCAGAGGCATAACAGAATCCATAAGAACATCGAATAAAAAGGTTTCAGTCAGGAGCTTTCCGATTTGATCAACAAATTATTTCAGTTGGAGAGAGCCTCTTCCGTTCCCTGAGAACGATATACATTAATTAAAATATGATGGCTTATACCTCCATATAAATAATCCCTAAATAAGTAAATGATCCTATGAATACTAAATAGCAGGATAATGAGCCCTCGAATAGGCGAAATTCTCTGTTGATTTTATACTTGTCGTCGTCATCGAAGTGTCCCTTTGAAAAATCCATGAATTATTCATAGGATTCGGTTGCACCGCGCCATTAATTACATCACAATTAAATCCTTCCGAGTCCCACTCTTTTCAGATATTTTCGGCTCTCAAAGTGAATAGGGTCCAATTAACAACTTTATTTTCATATCTCCGATTTTTATCCGGTTTATAGCAAACAATTATAAAACATATTTCTTTGTGTATGTTTATCTCTGAATACTCCCAAAAATGAAATATTACGATATTTATTTATTTAAATAAGCACAATCAATATGTATTCCTAAGGGGATTATATATTATTTAAAAAATGCGCCACATTCAATCGATTTCAATAAATTATAAATTATTTTGTGAAAGAAAGATCTATAACTTCAGTCTGAACTTGTTTTTTTATAAAATTAATAACGTTATTTTTTAAATAAAAAAGTGGATACATTTTTCTGTCACAAATGATTGGCCAATGGGACGGCGAAATGACTATCATATTCAGATTCCCTGATTACTATTACTACTACTACTCGTTCCCTGTGGACATCTGATATAATTTCTTTTATTTGAATTCCTATGACTGTTGACCGAGGGTGTCTCGATTCCTACCGAGGATTCCCGATCTGACCTGACAATGAAAACCTTGAAAAATAATTTCGATATCTCATTCAGATCCAAGGATATTCCTCCAGAAACAAGGGATTAGTTGAATCGATTTTTCCGATCTGTTCACTCTGTCATTACTGAAATTATTATTATATAACTGGAATTAAATCAATTAGAAAAACGCGTAGTCTCGAAGGAGCAACAGGTACACGTAATTGTCGAACAGTTTCATGTAGATAAAAATGATAAGTTCCGACCAATTAATTTCAATTGCGATTTTATCGACGATGAATTTACATTTTCTACATAATTTTGGCAATTAGTCACACAACAGATCTCGCCTGACCCACTTGTAATGTCCATTTCCATAAACGATTACATTTACCACCGGTGAGTGCAGCTAGTACTCGTGCATGTGGTCAATGTTATAACATCGCATGTAACACATTCTGGCGGAATCAGCAGCCCTTTTCACATGAAATTAACGCGTGATGAAGATGAGGAGCGCGTGCGTTTATTTCTGGGGCAAAGACTTGCAGAGCATGCCAAGGCCAGTTAATGATATGGGATTACGCGGATTGTTGGGATGAAAGGGTTGTATTATTTTGTTGAACATCTTAAAATGAAGAATATCCCTGAAGCTGGAAACATGGGGTTTAATTAAGGGAAGACCGCGGCAAATTTCAAAGTTCTAGTTAGAACTCATGATTTATTACGTCAAGGTACATACACATTAGGATATTCACAGTTACGTATTCAGGATGCTCTTTCCCGGATTTCTACACCATAATAATAATAATAAATTGTATTCACTTGATATTAAATACAGAATTTCACAGATGGATGGAACAAACGTCTTTGTGTGCAGATGGGGTGCTTGATACAAGAAATAATTCTCTTATCAAATTCGGAATTGAAAACATGTCAGCGTGAAACAAAATGCCCCTAATGTGATAATAACAAAAAGCAGGAGATTTACCATTATTATTTACCATTTTTTGAAATAGACGAGAGAATATTTTATTGTATGGAGAGAAGCTTCTTTATCACTAGATATTTTTTCTCTCACTGTGGTATAGATTATTGGAGCTTGCAGGGTGTTAATTTTATAATCAACGTAGCTAAGACTTACCTTATGATGAATATGCGATATGTTGTTGGTAATGCTGGTAGATACAGCTCAGTCTTATGTGGGTACACTGGTCAATGGTAGCACAGACAGAGATACATAAACTCGATTGAATTTTTTCACCCACAAATTCATTCCGTACGACACCATGGCAAAATTGACATCTGTTGAGTATTTTAAGACATTTCATGTTGTTGGTGGACAGTCCTCTGGCTATTGTGTTTCATAGGCAATTGGTCATATTCAGTCGATCGTTTAATACAACGATAACAACAAACATTATCATCAACGTAACAATATTCCCTTTTTTTTCCTTTGCAATGGATTCAATTTCTAGTTAGTTCGAGGGTAAACGGTCCGATGCACGACGCATGCCACTTTATAACGCACCCTCATTTGTATTTACACAAGTGTAATACAATTGTTGTATTTTCAAAGTGTGGGGGACAGACACTCGCGGATTGTGTGCAGTTTGCCGGACGCTGTTGACGCTTTTCAATGGGAAATAAAATCGACGAGTAAGTTCGGATAGTTTGAAAATATCTCGCACGCTCGGATTCACCTCCTCTCCTTATCTCACTTATATACCCTTTTTACGACTGTCGCGAGATTCTCCCCACGTGGGTATCCACTTGAAGAAATGTCAACAAACCCATTCGGAATGATCGGACGTATTTTTAGGAATTTAGAAAAAATTAGATAAACCGATTTGAAACCCACAATTTCCCTTTGCATCCGGAATATAAACTAAAATATTCACATTTTCTTTCTTTTCTACAGAAATATCATGTCACTCTCTCATTTTTTGAAAATTTCTAGTTTTGTTCCTTAACATTTCAAGGGAAATTTTCCAACAGTATACTTTGAGCCTCTGGAAGCTTTCACGGGGAGTTTTCAATACATTTTAACCCTGTGATTTTTTCCCATCAACTCTGTAACTGCACAGATGACATACTGCGTAAGCTAATCATTGGAAACTGTCGACAGCAATTTCCATAGATTTTGCAGCCATCGCTTCTTCTGGTTTTATCTACTCACGATGACTTGGTATTAAAAAATTTATCGTCGCGATAGCCCAACGAAAAACACCGCCAGAAATGAAAAACAACGGGGGTAGTGGCTCTAAAATGGAAAAACGTTGTGGCTGCGTCGATAAAAATCGCTCTGAATTTGATTATACCATTGAAATGGTACTCCCCCATTCTTTCCCAATCGACTCCCCTTTCCTTCGACATTTTTACGGCACTCCCTCGCTATTCCATAAATGGATTAACGCTGTCGACACCCCTATTCTCTCCATTTCCATTTTCCACAGTCAGACACCCTCAACTCTTACGAAATGTCCCTCAAGTCCACATTGCCGCCTTATTATGTTTACTAACTTCTCAGAAACGTCTGCAGCAATTATCTTCATCATCCCCAATCCAATAAAACTTTGAGGAGCTCGGATTCTTCATAACTCAACAAATGGCCATGCATTTTTTCAATTAACAACGCACAAATTGAATTCGAAATTTCCGAATTAAAATACGGACAGATTAATCTCATTACTGACTAATTTCATACCCAACTCGACCAACCGTATTTTCTCATTTCCATAGTCCAATTTAACTACTGAAATACCGCGACTGACTCGAGGATCCCAGCGGGAAAATCTACCAGATAAAATTAGTTTTCCAGCAATTATATTCTTTCGATTGCTAATATAACAAATTCTCAATTCTGCTTGACCTACACAGAGTACTGTTTTAGGTAAACTAATTCTGTACCTCGGGATCTCGCAGGAATGCAGAAATTTTTCACAGGATTCTCCTTTGTACACTACAATAGAATAGAGCCTAAGAGGTATTTCTCGAAAAAGTTACTTATTATCTAAATCGCTTTTTTACCCGTCACCACTTTGCCGCTGTGTTGCTCGGTTGTTATCTCTAAAACTATGAAATTTGGGAGAAAATATCAAATGACTTTCTTCATCGAAAATTTAATCAGCTACAAAAAAGTTCTCTAACGTTTCCACCTCGAATCAATAGCTTCCGACATAAATCGGTGGCTATTAAAATTCTCACTTTACCACTTCGCTACTCGAATAACCAACCATTGAACGAACTCAGCATTAACGCTAATAATTTTCCACATAATCTGCGATAAAAAAAGTGCAAATTTTTCAGTAATTAGTCCCCTTCCCCAAGAACAGGCTCTCCAATATCGACAAAACACGAAGGCCCCAGTATTCCCGAACAAAGTAGTAAAACCCCGTCACGATCCGGCATCGCCTAACCCTTTTCATGCCCCCGAAATCACGTCCACATCACCAAAACCAATTTCCCGAGTCACTATCCCCATCCATCACGTTTTCAACCCCCTGAAAAATTAAAATCATCCCCTCAAAATAAAAAGTCAAAAAATAGGCCATCAATTACTCATTCCCTTTGCAGAATGAGGGCTAAATTGAGAAAAAAAAAACGTGAAAGAGAGGAGATGAACCCCAGGGTGACCGATGAGTCTTTGTATACGCGTCGTGGACTGTTTACCTCCCACCATGACATTCGTTGGTTCGCTATCTGCCACTGATAATGGTGGCGGTGCTGCTGTCGATGGACCGCCACCGGCGTCAATGCTGCACTCGAGTTTATCTCGGCATCGTCGCGAATTCACGTGCGACGACGCCGATGTCATCGTGACGCTGCCAAACGGCGCTCTATCATCCCCCAAAAATCCCGATACAAATATTCCACCGGTCAGTGACGAAGTTGATCGGTGAAGTGCGAGATGAGTGTTATAAAAAATAAGATGAAATGAGCTGTGGAGCTAGAGGGGCTGAGGGGTGGTTTTGGGTGGTTTGGGTGACACAGAGGGGATGCACGATTTACAGCACTCTCAGTCGCACATGCAGCCACACACACATGCATACGGGTTTTGTGGCTCGTCGAGTTCCGTCGGCTCTCAAACCGTCGCGTACCGATGCTCAACTCCGACTAAGAGCCGACGCTTTCACCGACCCACCGCCACGCCCTCACCCCAAGGGGGCACCACCGCTCGCCTTCCCTTCTTTCGGGTGCTTTGTTTAGTGCAATTTCGGTGCAACTTCGGTGCAAGTTCAGTGCAAGGGGTGGCTGGGAGGGCATCCGTCAAAAATCATCGACAAATTCGATCGCCCCCTAAAAACAATCTTCACTTCCAACTGATAACCTCTTATCAACCCGCCTGAGGTCCTTCATTAAACTTCTCAACCTTCTTACGACCTTCATAAACCCTCACCACTATAATCGTTCTCAACAATTTCGCACTTTTTCCAAACGTCAGCCTTACTATGTATACTAAAATTCGAGTTACTTTATTTATCCTCCTTGTTTCAAAGTAAATTATAGCATGGACACAATATTCATACAATAAGATGTAATTCATATGTATGAAATAATTATATTTCTTAGGAAATTCCTATTGGCGGAATATTTAAAACGGAAATGGCAATTTGGGAATTATTTTGTTGGCGAAGGGTAAGGCTAATGGGTAGATGCATAAATCAAGGCGATTACGGAGTGAGGGTTGGTGGTCATCAAGACATCCCTATGATACGGCTATTAAGTAATTGAATTGGCGAGATCGATAGGATTGGCTGATAGCGGTGTCACTGTGCTCTCCGTGAGTTTGTAGACCCCGTCTATCGCTGACGTCTTTTGTGGTGATGTTTTTTTTATATCTTTACCGTTTCTCGAGTGCTCCATGAGTCATCCCCGAATTTTGTGGAGTCATTGGACCAGCGATCCTCAGGAGATAAGAATGCACATCCCAAGGTCTTTGGCTCCTCGACGTAATAAAAAGTAATGGTGGAAAATTGAGTGATCCTTCCTCGACTCCTTCAGAATCAAAGTCGATAGTTTTAATTGAATTGTGAGATTTACTCAATTGAGGGTGCACTGATTATTTAATCCCTTTCTTTTATTTAAATGCACTGATTATTTAATCCCTTTCTTTTATTTAAAGAATCAACATCCGTTCGACTGATTTTTTTGTCAATATTTCATTAAGTTCGTCAGGGAGAAGATTTTATAATGAGCATGGATAAAAATATTTCTTATCCCCAGGCACATCCGTCAATCCTAGACACTCAGTAATTTTGATAATTGCACATTGCTGATGATTGCTGATGATTGCTGATTTCATGTGCTTTCATGAGATGTCCAACTGATTTCAAGGGACTTCTTGGGATATTTCATTTCAAAAGACTTCCAGTGACTTCGTAAGGTTGTGCTCCCGGTTTCATTATTTCAAATTATTTCCGGCGAATTCAAAGGATTTCGATTTACACTGACACCGTGATTTCACCAATGAATAGACCCTCGTAGTTCTCCTATTTTTTCTACAAAAATAGTTCTGAAATACTTTTCGAATTAAAACTGTAAAACAGCGTCAATGAATAAATATCTATCTACTCTTGACATTACTGGAACGCCTTCTTATCAGTATTAAAAATAATTATTAAAAATAATTGGATTGTGTGAGTGTCAAAGTGAAAATCAACTTGTTCGAAGGATCTCATACTCATTAATTGTCATTTCTCACATAAGAACCCAGAATCTTTTCCTATATGTTTTGGAGAGTGAGAATTTTTTTTAAAATTATCTTTGATGACATTGTCATAGCAAGAAGGTGGACAATTGAAATGTGATTCGGAAAAGACAAGTACGTCTGTCAAGCCTGTGAATATTTAGCAGAAATAGTTGTGCTGGTACAAACAGTGACATTTCAGGTACACCTCCGACGTCAACGGGACACTAAATACCGATGATGCAGACAAGTGCGAACAACAAATGATTGGGATTTATCGTCTAGTAGACTTACACCTTGAGAATAGTATCGGTAGCTTGAGGTCGCACTGTTTCCACGATTACACTTGCAGATACGGCCCTTCGGCCTTCGGTTATATCCAACCGTTAAGATCAATCTTCCTCTTCAACTCCCGCTTTCTCTCTACCCTTTTCATCCCTGACACACCCATTACGACTACAAATGCATCAAATGTAGTCCATTCTCGGTCAAATGGAGTCCCTCAGAGATCGAGACCAGCGATTGGAATTTTTGAGGGCCTAATTGCTGGGCTAAATCGACTCGAGCTCCCGCGATCGATCAGATCCACCGATTCTCGAGTTGTTACCATCTTGTGTGCCATCGTGATATGCAAAAATTCACCGGGAATTTAATCAGATTCTCACCACGGAATAGAGCGGTCTTTCGTGATGGGCCAATTATATGATTCCCCTGAATATTCTTTAGGAGTTTAAGCATCACCATACTTTCTCCATTTCTTTTCATCCTCAAATACTCTAAGTAATCTCACGTTTTAACATAAATTTGCATTTGAAGAAGCACTTCGCAGGTGTCAAGAATATCTAATGTTTTAGTCTCTTTTCAGAACATCGGGGGATGGCATTCACCAGTCCAAAGAACGATTTACAGACTTCAATCGCTTATTTAATCTTTGTGGATTTATGGTGTTGAATTCGATTGGACAATTCGATTCAAGAGAGAACTTGAGTTTTATCAGTAAAGACACCTCATGAATTTATTCCTGCAGGACGAAATACTTTTATTTCATTAAATTACCTCGTACCCATGAATATTCATTAACAGATTACACTAAATTTCCGATTCATTATTGAAACTCGACAGAAACAATTATGCGGAAATTTAGAGTGCCAATGATTGCTGATATATTTTTGATTTCACAATAGGGCATTCAATATTTTCGGGAGTGAGTAGTTGAAAAATATTCCGTTCATTAAAATAAACAAAAATTCTGTGTATTTCTATGTTTTCATAGTATTAATTTCAATGAGGTACTGTAAATACACACGATCATACTCATTCCCGCATAATAATGATCCGTGGATATCTGTCAACCCGTGTTATGGTATCTGTAATAGGGGCTTCTATTGTTATAGCTGTGGCATATTTTGTGATTCTGAATGCTCGCTTCAGTGAGAATGGCTGTGTGTATTATCGCAAGTTTGTAGCCCGGGGTGACATCATTATAACTTGTGAATGGTCCGGTGCATGAAATCTCTTGTGTCGCCTTGATAACAGACTACCCAGAGGTAAAGACCTTTTCCTTGGAAAATTATCTTGCGGATCATATTCTTGCCTCTCCAAAAATACTTCACTAAATAACTATCTAGCGAATAATTTCTTCTTTCACAACTATTAATTCATTTTTTCAATAAATCAATAAATATTATTCTATAAAAGGGAGTTGATTTATAATAAAATGGTAACTATATGTATATATAGTTATTAATTAAGAGTCATAACAAATAAATCGTATTGGAGAGTAATTATGAAAGTAATTAATGATTCCATAATTGCATAATTCTCCGAAAAATTTATCAAATGATTTCCAAGTTTTTTGAAATACAGTTTTTCTACCCGAGAAACTACCTGCATATTTCCATTTCTCAACTCCAACGCAATTAACTAATTTCGCACCGAATTAAGGCAATTAAATGCCACGCGCGGAGCATGCAATTACGGATTCAAAAAGCAACTCCGAGGAACTGCAAACAGAACTTCTTTGACGCCAAGGCAACTTCCTAAATTCCTGCTATAGACAATGTTGATAGGATCACAAAGACAAGAACGAGAAATCCTGGGAGGATACCATCAACAATTCTCTCAGTGTATCATTCATAATGTCGTCCGTAGGATCGCTGAAATTTTTGTTGTCATTATTAATTGCCGTGCATTACTTACGCCATTCTCTTCTTCAGTCCCCTGATACATCTAAACACTGATCTCTATCCAAATGTTGACAGAGGAATTATAAATCACTGTGACGAAGAATATTCCCTATCCCTGAGAAGAATATCCAATGCCGGACGAACGTAATTGCTGGTACATTTCACTTTGCACCACTGTCACAAGTTAATTCCCAGTATTTCTTGTATTTTATTTCGCTCTGTCTTTCGGGTTCGTTTATACTCGCAAAATTTATGAAGTCCATTAATAGTTGCTGTGGTCAGCCAAAATTTCTTGTACTCTTTCCGACGAGTTTTGTCCAATTTCTTATTTTTATTACAATTTGTTGGAGAAGGAATGCCCATTGGAAAATATATATAAACATATAAATAACTCGAGTCACGTGAAGAATTCTGAAATTTAACATATGCTTCCTTGAAAGTATCGAAAATATAATATAATATACAGTACAATATAATGCCAATTTTTAGGTAATGAATTTAAAAAATATAACATATTTTTAATTAATCGTGATACGACACTTTTAGAGCCAAAAACATTAATTTTCATCATGAGACCGTGATTATTGGAAAAACCTACGTCTAATTTCCATGAAATTTTTATTGCTTAAAATACTACATTTTTGCTAATTTTGGAATCAAACGCATCATTGGACCACGAAAGAATTATTATCTCGAGAAATTTTTGACCGACAGATCTAAAATTTCGCGGAGATATTCTCCCAAAATACTCATTATTTCCCGAAATTCTGGCTGTTCAACCTAGATTTTACTCTTTTTTTCTACATTGTCCCACCCCTACCTTTACTCAGAACTTCTTATTTCCACATTTGATAATATTCCACTTTATTTTCAGGCAGAATTAGAAAACGTAAAATATGATCGATTACAAAGCCTCTATTGGGAAGGAAAAATAGGATAAAGGAAAAACATACCCTTTCTCGGCTTTGGATGCTAGCCACATTTTGCGCATAAGTGCCTCAGCAGCGTACAAATACGACGATTAGTCGGCACCTCGAGACTGCAAGTCCTGGAAAATATTTCCTGGGTAACACGCTCGACTATTATATCACTGTACCTCGTTCCGCACGGGCTTGTATGTCACTTATGATAATAGCAACGCTGATAACAATCTACGAATATGCATTTTGCCCCGGAATTCGGTATAACTTCCTGTATGGTTCCTAGGGTGGCGTACTTCAGTGAAATTGATGTATTGCGTCAGCCCTCCCTTTACCTTGGAACACATTGCGGGACAATTGATGAGAAAGCTTGATTTTTTATCAATCCCAGAGATACATTCTCATGTATAAGAGAGATATTGCGATGACCTCGACAACGGACGGGGAAAATTCCGTAATGCCTTCATGTTTCGTGACCCTTCACCGCCGAATTACTCCCGGTTCCAATTCCGTGATGGATGTTGAGGTTTCTAATTAATTTTTTTTGTAATGATGTTTATCTCTGTAAGTTTCCAGTGACAGAAAATCAGTTTTTCACGCCCATTTCCTTGTCTTTCACAATTAATGAGAACAAACGTGTCATAAATAGATCTTATATAATTTCATTGTATTACTTGTGATGAAATTTTATTCGGAAAAACTGGCGCGTTCGGTAGAAAGTCGATTAATTTTTTTGTTTGAATTTTTCATTGAATTTTTTATTTCGCTGTGTCTGAGTTTATGACACACTGCGGCGGAAGGGGTGAGGGAAGGTTTATTAAATGAAAAAAAAGCAACAGAGCCCCTAGGAAAACCCATACACCCACCAAATAACTCCACCCCATATTATTCAAACGTTTATTACAACAGGAATAATACAATTGTGTATATTCTCAACTAAGGATCGAGTTTCATAAAAACTCGTGGTGGTACAAATTGAAAAGATCGCTACGAACTGTACAACACTTCACTGATCAACTGATATACATTACGCACGAGAAAATTCAATAGAAAAACGTAACAAATTTGCTAGAAAATTTCATTGAATTTCTATTGAATTTTTTATTAGTTCTTGAATAACTCCATTGAAATGATCAATAAAAAAGCATCTGTAGAAATAAGTAGTACCTGTAAAACAATTTCATTCTTTCTTCCATTAACTGAAATCAAAGAAATCAATAAAGCAACTTTAAATAATTTGGGCCTAGCAATTTCCATAAAAAAAATGTCCGTGGTATTCTACTCACATTTGATAGTATTTGTTTCCAAATTTGTTATTTTTTCGATAGAGTCGGAATTAATATAAAGTTCAATAGAAATGGAATACAATTGTTTAGCGAATTAAGTAAGATTCTCAGTGAAATTTTTTCATTAGTGATGATAAATGCAACGTCATGTTTATTATTAAAAAGGTGCAAGACCCCGGTGATGACTGGTACTCGTGTAAAAAAATAATCAGGAAGACAGTATGAATGACGCAATTTCATATTCCTGAAGTCCTTGATTCACTCCTCATCGACAACTTCGCAGCTGTGGTATTTGCTGGAGGAATCCAGCCAGCTCTCAACTCCACTCGATGCTAAATCGTCGCAAGACGGCAGTTCTGGTAGAGGCTCCATATTCGGGGCCCCCAGTTTAGTCAGATTATTCACGGGCCGATCTTTCGGTTTTGCGCCTCCTACTTTCAGGAGATTCATCATCAATACTCGAATCATCAAGCTGATAAATCCATTAAAATGAGTAAATGAATTCTCTATGTAATGACTGATGTATTAAAGTACGGATTTCGTCACCAAGGAAATGGTTCCTCTCACTTGAAATTTTGTGATAATCATCAACAGGTCATTAAGATAAGCGATAAGTGATAAATTGAGGGATTTTACAACAAATAAAATGGTTTTTTAATCATTTCTTTACACCCGACAAATCTTGAGATCTTATCATTTGTTTAAGTGAATGTTCATGTTTTGATCCACAAACGTCCACATCCGGATAACTACGAACCGAAATCCTTGAAAAAAGTATTATTACCGCTAAGGGAATATCTCAATTAATCTCCGCAGGAAAATGGGAGTGCTGTTGAAATTTTTAGAAATTTCGAGTAAGCTTTCTGAGAAATTGGAAAAAAAAATCATGTTGACATGCAAAAAAAATTATGCGTCAGTAAAAAGGAATGTTGTTGATCTTTATTATCAGGGAAAAAAATGGAAAGATTTCTCCAGTTGCTCCCTAGCCCCGTAGCTGTTCCTTTGGATGTACGGATCGTCCCCCTCCCAGCGCAATGGTCGACTGCGCAACATCCGTTATGTTTTCCGTTGCATGAGCTATCGAAGAGATCGCCCTGGCCCAAAATATAAGTCACAATGGGTAAGATGGACATACTCACCATTGTTGGCGGCATGTTTAGCGTCCTTCCGTCGAATCAGCGCTTGTCTCGACGCACGTGGACTTCGATATTCCGAGCTGACACCGATGCCAGCGCTTATCGAAGGTAATCGTATGTCCAGATGCGATCCTTTATCCGTGATTATCTACCAATTTTGTTTCCAACCGTGAATTATCCCGTAATCTTTACATTCCTACTGTTATTAGTTAAGGAGTAATCTGCGGGTACCTTACTATTCATGGCATATAACTTGGTTGCGATGTCCCTCGCAACGAGAGTTGTTAACACAGTCGCCAGATATGCTTCTTTCACCAGGAGGTACTCTAGAGCTGATCTCTGCCAGTATAAGTACCTGCATGAACTCGCCGCCACAATGGAAACCTAAATAAAATTTTTTAGTATTTTGTTGCTGAGAGAGAGTCCATATTCCTCAACCATTGTCTCGTACATTTCAATTTATTTTACTATTTAATTTTTTTTATTATTCAACAGCATTTTATGATTTGATGGGAATTTAATTGATTCTCCCGTTTACACCGAGAAATTAATCGCCATAAAATTACAAAAAAAATTAATCGAACCAATAAAATTGCGTATTTAATGAGTACAGCGGTGATTAATCCTATTTTATCAACATTTGATCACTCACTTTGAACTTATCATCTACAGACGCTCGAGAGCTCTCGAACTCGGGTGAATCGAGAAATTCGCATGGCAGTATTGGATGTAGAAAATTAGTCTCACTCAGAACATTGACCTTACCACTCAGCAATAGACCTAATCTATCTGTGCGTGTTAAGTTTTGCATTGCATACGCTTCACCAGCATGGAGTGACATTATCGTCGCGAATTCTGGAGACACGAGTCGCTTGAACTGCATGCGTGACACCTAGAAGACGCAAGTTCATTACAAATTTGGATCATTCGACTTATTCGATGATGTATTAAGTCGGATGAAACGAGATCCACCTTGAAGGGGAAAAAGAGAGTGTGATAGACTTCCTCGAGTTCCGGATCGAACCTAACTGGCCTCATCTGATAGACGATGTACACCAATTGACAGATGTTGAGTACTAGGAAGGAGAAGTTCCAAGAGAATATGTCAGGAGCGCAGATCACGTGCCAAGCCCATCCAGACAGCAACATGAATCCTTTTTGGAAATCAAAATAGTTAAGCGGGGGAGGAACCATATTAACTATTCAATTGCTGCATCAAGTACAAATTAGAAGACTCCTTCTAGTCAAATAAGGATTTATGAAATAGTTCTTCGTATTGATGATGGCAGCTTACCAATTATGAGGAGCGAATGCATGAAGAGTATTCCCTTTTTGGACGATGGTGCTGAGTATGACAAGGCGAAGCAGCAGTTGGCCAGTTGGAAGAGGATGTGCTGGGGCTGCTGCCAAAGGCACAAACCACTCGCTGTACCTAAAGCACCGTCAATATTCATTACCAAAGCCGCTCAATGATTAATTTCTCATTTCGTGTGATTACTCACCAATGTATGTGTTGTTGTAACTCCCCAGTGGATCGTGACCCAGTCCAGGAGTCATGTTGAGATCTCGCTATGGACAAGAGTGCACGTGTCCCGGTGGTCACTTCATGGCTGGCTCGACTGATTTGTTTTGGTCGAGTGACTGGAAGGGTTTGCTACCCAATTTTTGTGGATTGGGGATGGTAGAGACTGCGCGCGCTTGATGAAGGATCTTTGCGCAGGCTTCAACCCTCGAGGATCAATTCCAAAGGGTGATCGTAGGAAGGTAGATTACCAGAGGAGTCCGCTTATCACTATTAGAAGTTGAAGAAAGTGCGACTTTTGATAAGAAGGAGAATCTGCAGTCAAGGTTTGCTGTGACGGTAGGGGATAATCGGTGGTTGAAATGGAGGGAATGAGATGACGGTATCCAAATACCTGCGATAATCAAAGATGTGTTGGTTCTCCATCCTTAGATGATAAGTTATCATTGACAAATGATACGATGTGCCATATCCATTGATTTCATTTCATCTTCCTATATCACCATTCAAGAATGATCGAGAGATGAGCTAATGCATTATTACGTTTATTTTCAGTCTTTGTTCCGTCAAATCGGGTACATTTTATAAATTATTATCCATTAACATCGAGGCTTCTACAACCACAATTCAATTAGGTGACTTGTGAAATTCTCTAGTCAACATGACCCAATATAAGTTCGGTAATACAAGTTTGGTGAAACCAAAAAAGATCGGAGAGAAATGAAACAGTATTTCTAAAGTTAAAGTTGTTTACAGGTAACCCAAAGTTTTCCGTATTTCGCTACAAATGGTGCAAGCTTCAGGTGTGACTTAGAGCTTTGAAGAAAGTGTTAACGGTCCAATTACCTGATAATACCGAACCCACTAAGAATTAACAACAATTCAACTAGTTAGATCAATTAACTGGATCGCGTGGAGTCGTATGTTTCCTTTTTATGAGTTTACACTGTGCCATCGAGCGGGAACAATGAAACTAAATGAGAACTAAAAGAGAAATTAACTGAACTATCAGGTACAGCTTGATAAAGTTCCTAGGTATTCACTATAATGGTGAAGCAATCCTCAAATATTTACAACGCACTCATTCACTGATACAACACAATGAGAAAATCCCGAAAAAACTAAAACCAAACTAGATATTTACCATTTACCACCGAGTTACGTAATTTGATTAATAAAATGATAATAATTATGTTCGGATTCCCGAAGTTACTTCCAGAATGCTCTGCGTGGGCGGGAGCATTATCATTGAAAATATAAGATACTGATAATTTACTTTGCTCTCCACTAAGTGCTCCGGGCAATTTGAAGCTGTGTAATCACATTTGAATCCGAGTACATATTTTTTTTTCCTTTTTCGGTAATTTTCATCCACCTCTTTCATCCACTGGAGCGGGTAACTGCTGGGTCAAATTGGGATTCGAATCAGGAGTCAAAGAAATATCGTAAAAACCGTATAAAACGGTCACCTTCAGGCGGATCCTCTTCCAATGAGATTACATCGATCGCAGAATGAATTTTATTGACGGGGGATACAGCCTGGAATATTGACAGTTGCGTTGGAAGAGACACCCCAGTGGAATTTTCCCGCGAATTCTGGAATAGTCCAGTGGAAAATTTTCTGATTTTCGAGCTGCGTTACGAGGGGGTTTGAATCTGCATATGATCGAATCACATCAATTCTGATCCCCGATTCGACGGGACACTGCGGCCGCAAATATTACATCTAAAAATCTGAGGGAATATTCTTGTAAGCTGTACGAGGACACCTACACATGTTAATATGACATTTCACCTTATAATTCGACCCATCTGGAAGGCACGTGGGAGAGAAGACATTGAGGTACTATTTCATTCTTTTTGGATGAACGAATGAATAACTGGACAGGAAAATTTATGAATTTTATGAATTTTATGAATTAACTTAGTAACTTAATTGGGTTTATTATGTTTATTTGAAAAAAAAAATTTTTTCCCATTCTACCGATCGAAATTGGCCTTGAAATTATGACATTACCGAAAATTACCGAAAATTTGTCAAGATAATTAACCGTGTCTACATGTTTCCGATAATTGGATGTTTGTCGCATAACATGACACCCAGTGTCCGTTGAATAATACGTTAATTAATACTGGTCAATGCAACTTAATTACCCTAATGAGTGCGAGTGGAGCCCGGCGATGGTTAACCCGAATCTGATACCGTAATGCGAGGTGTTCAGAATTGAACATTCCTGCGGACAACTGTTGGAGTATGCGAATAATCTTGAAAATGACACGAATATATTACTTTAGATTTTTATGTATACCTGATAGCAATATATACAAATAAAAGCAGATAGGTTTTCAAGACTGTGAAAATGTAAAAGCAAATGCAAAAAAACTTTTGTAACGATTTTTTTTTATTTCCTAATATTTAGTTCTCCAGCTTTTCCAAAAAAAGACATGGAATAAAAATTCATTTTTTTGTTATTTTGTTTTTTTTATTACTTTCTTTCCGACTTTTGTGTATCTCTGCGTGGGAGTCGAGTTAATGAATTTTTTATCGTCATATTCTTATTTTATTCATATCTATTGGTTTGGCTATGTTCACATTAACTTGATTCTTCGCTCGACGTAATAATGAGAACTATTCTTTTGGTTTTTTTTCCTGAGGTATAGGAATCGAATTTAATATGAAGAATAATGACCGGAAGTTATTACTGTGAGCCCCTAAACGGGTGGCACCCACCATGGGCGCTACCAATTTATTTTAAGATGACCAACAATTTCGGCGAGGGTTTTCGTGTAAAAATGGTGGATGTGAATAGATTATTTAGGTGATAGTTGCCCCTGAAATTTTCTTCTAAAATAGAAATATCAAGTTGACTTCAACACCAAGGGACAATCACGTCTACCCACGGGATCCATTGACGGCGGAATTTCCCCAGCTGAAAGAGGATTCAACCTACATTAACACGAAACCTATATGGATATAAAGCTCATTTATCACGTGAGCCAGGTCCAAGGGTTTCAGGATCGATGAGCAGTCCCCCGCTGCCCAGTTACAAGGTTATCCAGCGACAAGGTCAAGGATCGCATTCCCTAACCTCAACCAAGGAGGGAATAAAATATTATTCAGGGTCTAGAACGCCGTCGATTCATTCAAACCAGTTGAGAACATGTCGGAGGATTCTTAAATGCATGTGCCATGTTCCCATTCTTTTCTCTCCAAAACTGGGAGATTTACTCCCATCCTTTCCTCGTTCGGGGGAAAACAACTCTTCGAGGTGGACTCAATTCTTCGACCCTCCATTTTATGACCCCTACTTTTTACCTCTTAAATACTTTATTTCACCACTTTGTATTGAAGAAAAACGTTTTTATGATTTGACCTTTGCATTTTACATACTTTGGGTCTTCCGCTTCTGGTGGAAATTCCGGAAAATTTAAATTATCAATTAAGGTCAAATTCCTTAAAATCACCTGAAACGTAGAGATTTTAATTTCAACAGACTGTTAAAGAATGCCTACAATGTTTTTTACAATTCTGTTACAGTTGAATTAGTAATGGTTGTTCTCAGTGTAACTCCAGAGGAATGTCCGCCTCTTCCAGGAACAATATCTCATATCCTCGTTAGGATGGCGTTAACCTCTGCCTTCTCATTTCTTTCTTTTTCGCGAGGAACGAGTGGTCCACTCCAACAGTTGATTATCCAACTTAGCCAGTTGTAATTCTCTGATGGACCCCTCGGGGGCTCGAAATTTAGACTAATTTTTCTTCGAAACAGAGAGGGAGAATAACAAACTTATTAAGTTGGCCGGCCTAATGAAAACTACCGCTGAGAATATATATCGGCTGTCGTAAATTCAAACGTGTCTTTATATGAATTCTTTGGAGGTTCAATATGTTTTATTCATGGTGGTCTGTTATGCTGCGTTGAGAGTGAGAACCAATGGACGAAGGAAAATTATTCAGAGGTTGGAAAAGTAGAACGGAGAATTGAGGTTTGTGATGAAACTTTGGCAAAAAGTTTTGGGGTCAATAACGGAGAGGGGAAAAGTTTGAGGGTTTTCGGTTTAACGTGATCTTGAACATCCAAGGATACGTGATTGCTGATGAGTCCATTGAACTGGTAATATACAGTATAGATAGCACAAAGCTTCATTTTCAAGGATTATTTCCAGACTCTACAATTATTTCTCCACCGTCCAATCTTTTCATTGACCAACCGTCAATTTCACATATATATTTACTGGTTATATTATAGAGCCTTCAAAAAGCTGAAAAGGGGAACAGAAAAATGAAAAACTGGCCCTGCCGTAAGGCCCATCTGCGAATTTTGGGGGAGGGCACTGACTTTTTTGCGAAATTTAATTTTTTTATTGATGAGGTGTTGATTTTGCATATTTTGCTGTTGATATAGATAACGTGAGAATGCTTAAAGACTTTTCTAGGACTGGGCCCAGAAGAAAATCATCTAATACGAAAAATAATTAAGAATAATGACATAATTTTTTCATTAACTGCAAAACAAAAAAAGATTGACCAAAATATTTTTTCAAGAGTATCTCTCCGTATGTACCATGCGCAACTAAATTCCAGAATTTCTTCATATCGCTCATAACTTCATGTAGACACTAGCTGTGGATCTCCAACCTCAGTATGATATCTAAAATATTGAAGAGTGATATCTAACGGATTTGTTGTAGGGTTCTTATATCCGGAACACGTGCACAGAATATATGCGCACTCTCAACTGTGAGATGAAGTGCACCATTTCCGCGAGAAGCAATTTTGTTTGAATTGGTACATGACGTACATCCCCCACGCATTCTTCAGGAATGCTCAACGGATCTCGAAGGCATATTGTGATGGTCCTTTCAGATTTTTCTGAAGTTTCTATAGAGTAGAAACTTATGAATTTCTACTCCATCGTGTCACATATCCGAGAGTGGTGGTCTTATTACAGAATGTTCCATCGATCACAAAGAAAATCTATTACATTGATAGAGTTTCTGTATCAATATCACATTTTACCCTTCAAATAGATTCCGGAAAACAATTATCCACAATTCATACATTCCCCTCAAAATTTTCATAATAAACTCAGTCTTCAGACATTCGTAATAATTATCTTAGCAATGAAAAAAAATATGAACCCAATTATTTGATATTTAATTGTGACATGTAACTTAATTATCTATTCATGTGCATGCAGGTTGTATTTTGAAATAAATTATGAAGTAATAATTCGAATATATTTTTCTTTGGTTTTACATTTGGCTGTATTAAGGATTAATATTATTTATAAATAATCGTTTTAAATTCATCTCGGATGGAATATATCGCTCAATAAAAGTAATTCTTGAATCGAGAACAGTTTTCTTCAGCGGAAAATCATTTATTGTAAGGAGAAAAATACAACGAATCGACAGCTGTTAGTACGGGATTTTCTGTGGAAAAACCCTCCGACGTATGGATCATCCCGTCGTTTTATTTATCCGCCTCTCTTTCGTGAAAATTGCAGGGAGTATCTGCGATATTAATACCTGGAAAAACCTATTCTTCGGAGGATAGGTGACTGTGTTTGCTACATGTTATCATCGTGCACCGAAGCACATTATACCCAGCTTTTATGACCTCCATTGCGTTCATAGGATAAAGTATTATCTCGGTGTCCAAAGTATTATGTCGATCCCGGGGTTTTACAAGAAAATAGTAATATAATCAGAATTTTTACGAAAAATCTTCTGCTAATAAACTTAAGCTTTCAACGCCGCTGGGCGTTCATCAGGTTTTTTTTGTGAGGCAGAATATGCAGAGGATATTCATCACAAAGTGATGGATATCATCCACGGATTTGCACCTGCCTACGGAATAAACCGGATTCGCACTTCACGTAATATAATCGCTTCATTCTCGGTTAGTAGTGCGGTGTCACGAATTTTCACAGCAAACATTTCAATGTTAAACTATTGCCCGGGGTTTTTAGATTTTACATGACACGTGTTTCGAATGCTCTGGAATTTGTCAGCATATAAACGGAGTTTTGCAACAGTCGTAAAAGGACTATTAAAATAACGAAAAAAATTCCTTTTCAAATATTATTCACGTGTATCCATATTTCTTGGTTATATAATAATCATTATGACAATTTGGATAACTATAAATGAATTGAGAATTATGTAAGCTGAAGCACGCCGAAATAACAGGTTTTCATTTTAACAATCCGATTTTTTTCAAATTAAAAAACATGAAAAGCGTTTTACAATCTCAGCGTATTAATTATTAAACGTCAATTTTTTTTCTAGTTTGAATTTAGTAAGCAATAATTATGAATAGTATTTTTTATAAAGAAATATTGGTAGATTAAAGTATAAAGATAAATAGTGAGAGTCGAGTAAATTGATAAGAAATTAATTCCCAAGATTTCCACACTCATTAATGCTCATTATCTCAGATCTGACTTTATCCTGAAATTAGGTAAACTATTTTTTTACGGGAATTATCTTCAATGACACTGTCGATATGAAGTTCAAATTCAAGGATAAAGAGTCAAGACACCTTCCATAGTTTCCACACGCGACGAACCTACTCTGTATGCACACTATTATCATCAAGGAAAATCCATCGGAACCGCAGTCATCCATAATCGTTATCGCGAAAAAAAAACAGTATTGAAAGTGTCATACACGGTAGTGCATGTTTGCTGGTCATGGCATATAGATCTCTTCTGACGGTAATAACAGTATTGTGGTACAGCCGGGGTTCTCTGGCAGAACCGGAAGTCATCACCAGGACAGGGGTGATTTCGGGGACCTCGATAATCACTCGACGAGGAAGAGGTGTTTTCGCCTTTCGAGGAATACCGTACGCCAAAGCACCAATTGGGGCCCTCAGGTGCACAACCTCTATCATTTATATATAAATATATATATATATTGCAATCGTATATAATCCAAATGTAAATGATGGAAATTACAAATTGCCCATCCAGATATTTAAAAATCTAAACAAAAATTATAAACTGTTTTCCTTTTCATCTTTGGTTGATTAAACAAAATAATAGTATAATAGTGATAATATGTACATTATTATGCAGAATTTCGAATATCCCAAATATTGTATTAATATTTTATGTATAGATTTTCATATGAATTGGTGCAATTTGCGATATGTTAGAATAGGCTTATCAAAATATATTGTTCGATGTTTTCACAGTTTGAAAGACAGTATCACTAGTAGGCATTTATAATTGATAGGTTCCGGAGTCCAGAACCTGCTGAACCTTGGGATGGGATATTCCGTGCGAATGAGGATCCGGTCCCCTGTCCTCAGGTCAGCGATGATGGGGATATCATTGGGAATGAGGATTGCCTCAAGCTCAGTGTCTACACGCCGAGGGTACTGCTATATTTTTAAAAACCAAATTTACCCGTTAAATGTACTATTGAACATTTCTGACTACCATTTCCGGTCGACCTTTTGGAAATTTTTGTCTTATTTGTGAAATTAACACGGAAGATTAAACCAATTGCCAATTTAATTTTTCGTGTGAAAACCAATTGAAACTAAATTTCAGGTCAGGCGTTCGATGTTTATTTAGTTGAATAGGAAACACTTAAGGAAATATATCCTGTAGCTTTCAGTGGATTTCAGAGTCAGTGAATTCAAGTAATGAATATTTATCGTTTGCCTCCTGTTTAGGAATGATCAATGTTCCGGAAATTGCAGAGAAATTCACATTTTTGCGACTTGTTCCTCTTGAATATAATAATCAATAACGAAGTTCCCCTCAAGTTTGAAAAATGGGTTACATGACGAAATACCCGAATCCAAAATCAATGGCTTCCATGTACATAAAAACCCACATTCAAAAGTTGCACAACATGATTCAATTTATTGAGTAAAAATCGTGCAGAAAAATAAACATAAAAATGGATCATCTGTGAGACTCGATGAATGCACATATACACTTGTTTATTATTTTCGGGGATTCTCCATCAATTTGAATTATGGAATTATGACTTTGGAAAGTTTGTGGAAAGGAATTATGGATGTGGGAATTTCGTCGCGGGAATTTTCTCGTGCCACCAAAAAATGATAATGTTTAAAATAATTTTTTTAAGATTCTACAATGACATAATCCCAGAAAAATATGTACAGATAGATCTAGCGGATCTTCTTCCCGTAATGGTATTCATTCACGGCGGGGCTTTCGTCCGCGGTGATATATCTTCGAGTTCCTTAGCTCCTGATTTCCTCCTTGATCACGATATCATACTGGTGGCAATGCAATATCGCCTCACTGCTCTTGGGTTTATCAGCACAGGTGATGAAGTGGCGCCAGGGAATTTCGGATTAAAGGATCAACTGCTCGCACTGCGATGGGTCCAAGAGAACATCGAGAACTTTGGCGGTGATCCAGGGAGAGTCACACTGTTCGGCCAAAGTGCAGGAAGTGTCAGCGTGAATTTGCATGTCCTATCCAGCCAATCCAGAGGTGGTTTTTACCATTCAATCTCTTTTACAACAATCTAATAACTCTTCATTAAAAAAATATAATAAATTTCCAAGTTTAGGTTCTATTTATAAAGAATAGAAATCAATTATTCACGAATTAGATTTAACATTTCAAGTAAAAATTGAATTTTTGGTCTCATCAGACTAATTTCGATGATTCCTAGTGGAGTCAATTGGTTTTTTTTTTTGGCAGTCGATGTATTATGATTTCCCGACGCTAATGTTCAAATTTCGATAAAGAATTTCTATCTGTGCCTCACGTACTGCAATGAATACCCGTCTGAAAGCTATTCCAATAATCGCCCCGAATGAATATCCCCAATTTCCCAGTGGTGAACATAATACTGTGCTCATCAATCCTGAGGTACTGACGGATTTCTATTGCAGGATTGTTCCACCAATTTATTGGGCAGAGTGGAAGTGCGTTATGTCCATGGGCGTTCGAAGACTCGACGACGTACAAGGACTATTCATTTTCCCTCGGGAGAAATCTGGGGTGTCCCACAACCACCTCGAAAGAGCTCATCGATTGCTTGCGAAATGTTGACGTTGGAATGTTGATCAATGATTACAATGGATTTGATGATTTTCGAAAGGAAACCGCCATTACGTGGATACCAACCCGGGAACCTCCTGGAAATGACGCATTCCTCACCGATCTTCCAATTAATCTCATCTTGGACGGCAATCTTGCGGATTTACCTAATATCAGCGGAGTTGTCAAAAATGAGGGACTCATTGTCACGCTAAGTGGGTTGTTTTTAATTTCCCCTGATTCAATTAAATACATTCATTTTCTAATAAAATATCCTCTACATTTTTTTCGAATTACGTCATACACCAGTTTCACCTATACTTCAACGATTTTCGCGACTGAGAATTCAAGATTAAAAAATTACAGTATGAAAATAGTCAATTAAAAATCAAATTCCAATTAATGAAAAACTCTGAATTTACTTGAATTTTCAGTGAAAATGGAAAGTTTGTATTTTTATTGAAGTTTCACGTCGAACCTAAACATTCGAAGCGTCATTAAAAAATCAGTTATCATTTACCATGAAAACCCTGATTTCCTTGAACTATCAAGATAAATCATTAACTTCGGGAGTATTTTTAATTAGAATTGAATTCAACCTCACATAATTAAAAGTTCAGATAACTTCATGAGGGAAATTTCGGAAAATTCCTAATAGCTATCACTAGGCTATAAAACGAATACCGGTAAAATTACGGAAAAATTATAGCTACGATGTCCTCGAAGTGGACCATTGTCCTTCATTAATCATCATTATTCTATGACTCTTTGCTCATCCCAATAATCTGCACTATTAATCCTCCTCGACAGTGTTATACGCAAACTCCACTTTGTACGACTACTTCCTTGGTGATGTAGAGTCTCTTATGACTCGCCTATCATCATCCTTTCTGATTGATAGCAGAGCATCAAGACTGGCCGCCGACGTGAAGAACTTTTACATCAGCGGTATCGACGAAAAGAATAAAACACAAGTGCGTTGTCCCACCATGCCAATAATGGAGAACATTGTCTGATAACGAGTAAATGCTTCCACACATTTCAGATACTGTCAGCTATAACCGATATCATCAGCGATTCGTTATTTCTCTTCCCGCAAATTCTCCAGTTACAATTGGCCACGAAGAAATTAACAAGTCCCCATTATTACTATAGCTTCGAGTATCGTGGAACCTTCAGCAAGACCGCTATTATTTTGAAAAACAATGAAAACATCGGGGTAACACATGCAGATGAACTTATTTACATTTTTCCGGTTAATTACACCATTTTTGGGGTGGAGGAAGACAGTTTGAGTGAGGAAGATCACAAGATGATCGATATCATCACTGAATTGTGGACTTCCTTCGCCATTAACGGGTGAGTACATCCCCTCGAGAAAAATAAAATGAAAATATTGGGGAAATAATTATCATTTTTTTACACTCATCAGATTGTCTGCAACGCAATATTTCGCGAATAATTGTAGCGAGAACAAATTCTAGAAATGAAACACATGCAAATAGAATTGGAAAGAGCAATACGATTTTTTATTCGAAATGTTTTTATCTATCTCTCAAATAAATTTGTTGACTCTCTTCGACAAATCGGAAGTACTCATCAAACGAATGATTTATTTATTTCTATCAAGACGTTAATAAATTAGTAACCGAAATCCCTGGAGTTTTATCGATAATGATTAACATCGTGGAGAGAAAAAATTGTAGTGGAGAGGTGAAATGCGTGGGTAACATGTGGATACCTTTCTATTGGATCATCGGCGCTTCATCTTTCCATTTCACTTCATGATTGCCGAATCATTATCTAACGGCGTGGGCTCGTTATTGTATCATTGCCCCAGCGCGAGGCTCATATAAACATGCCATCCTAAATGAACATGCATTCAAATTATGTTTCTATGATCAAGGGTGCCCACGACGAGTTACGCAGAGAGGTCGGACTTGTGGGAGACTTATAATGACGAGACAAATGCACATTTGGTAATTGGATCCGGACCTCAGGCGAGGGTAGACCTGCTTCACCATTTTCTGGAACCTCGTATGCACTTCTGGGCGATGGAGATCCTCAAATTACTACTCTTTAACGGGCGATAATTCAGCGGATTTAGGTTTTAATTTATTTCGCGAAGTGGTCGAACGAGATCAGTCGCAATGCGCATTTTTCATAATTATCAATTTATCTTGAAAATGACCTATTTAAAATGTCCGTTAAAAAGGTTAATTGTCTTGGCGATCATGTTCAGCAAAACTGTAAAATTCGGGTTATCAAATTGATTTGAATCGTATACTTTCCCCGTAAAACCTTCCGCATTCTTCGAGGGCATACGGGATTTTTATCTTTCGCCGTGATAATTTATTTCTGAAAATTGAGGGCTCGTATTTTTCTGTTTACAATTTCCAGTTTTGATAGGTCGGGTCGCGAGCAATGGCTTTCCCTAGCGAGTGGAAAGGTAAAAGTTTACGCCCGGAGATCATCAATTTCACCTGTTTCGTAATTTTGTAATTTTCAAAACATAGATGGAATTTGAAGGAGTCGACGAGAACACGAGAATTTAACCGAAACAGATCTTTAAGAATAGCATATTTCCAGATTGTTCGAATGGGATTTTTTACTCCTATGGAGTTGGCGTTAGAGCAGCTGGCGAGAACTGGTCAACCACACGAGCGAAAAAATCCCATCAAAAAAGTCCGGATAATATTTTTCCGTAGCGATTTTCAAGTTTTCGAGTTTGGGAAGTAGTACCCATTCCCAGATGAGAAATCGTGAAAAACTGCAAGGAAAATTATATCGTCCCACCTTCAAATCACGGCACTAATGTTTTTCATCTAAGAATATCTTTTACTAAGAATTTTCTGTTCGTAAATTACTCAATAAAGGTTGATACTGAATTACGAAATAAAAAAATTAATAAAAATACTTGGACTACTTTTAAGTAATAGACTTATTTCCATTTACTTACCTACACGCAAAACATCGTGTATTTACAATACATACGCATCATACGTAATTATACGTACATTTAATTATTTGCACATATATCTTTTTCATGAGGAAAACCTTCGCGATAAATTTTCTACAGTGATAAAAAAATTTCGGAATTTCAGTCACAAGGTCATATGAATTTTCAACTATATGCGTTTGAATTCAATTTCAATGAAAAATCGTCACTAAATTTCTCGTTATCTTGATAATTCCAGGCAATTGGATTTTTCGTGTTCAATGACAATTGATGTTCCAAAGGAAAGCTTGAATTTTCATACTTTTTATAAAAATTCAACATGAAATACAATGAAATTCTCAATGCATAAAAAATTGAGAGAAATTATTGTTTGAAATTTCAATATTTTCCTGTTTTTTCCGTGGCATATTGACCTGCAAATGGAGAATTACCCCAATATTCAAGAAATTAACAAATTCGTTAATGAAGAATTCCCCAAAAATTCCATATTATATTGCCGCTCTTAAAAATTCTTCAAAATTGCAATTTTTTAACCTGGAATTTCAATTGTAACTGTCCACCAGTGTTTCCGCAATACTGTCTCTCGAGTATCGCGAAATAATCCAGTTCCACATTTACTGTCATACAGATACAATGACCCACTAATGGAACCACTGAAAACCGGCACCACCTCGCAAGTCCCTTCACTCCACAATCTTCTGCACATCCTCGCCCACTCGAAGTGAATTGAACGGATCCCCGGGGCTCTACAGCATCTCATACTAATCTCAACGATAACGTGTTCAGTGCCTTCTCTGCATAAGTATAACCTGCTCCATACCAACTCCCGTCACAAGCCACATTAGTAATTATACTGTCCATATTGATCATTCAGTTTCATCAAGCGCATTTGCTCCGCCACATTCCTACAGCGCGAATAGTACGAAAAATCTGTTATTCAAATCAACGTCAATTTCAATGCTAATGGTTTTTTAACCAAACGTGGGTTGAAACGCTCCAGGATATTACAATGTTTGCACATAATTCATAAGCTTTATACGTCATCCGGTAATTTTTATATTTTTCTATATTTAGGTAATTGGAGGATTTTAACCTCGACGGCGGTCAAAGAAATGATTTCACTCCTAACAAAAATCTATATGAATTTGATATTAAAATAATGTATGATTTTGACCTTTATGGAAATAAAATGAATTCTCTGGTGCCTCGAAGGGTCAAATAAATTCCTCTGATCTTTGTAAAGGTCAACTAAATAATTTGAATCTTCAGAAAAATCCCATAAATAATTTCGGCCTTTTAAAGGTCAAATAAATAACTTCAACCCTCAGACTTCATCTCAGGAAAATTATCACAATGAAGTATGAAATGCGAGATGTATTGGTTGTCAAATACTCGATTCCTCACGCGCAAACTCATCTTCCTGGAAGTACCCATATTCACAACAAGCTCCGTCATTTTTACGACGTTCGACATTGTATGCTGAGTGCAATCTCCAAGGGTAATTTGATGCATCATTCACGTCAAACAGTCAATTTATGTGGTGTCTGCCTGGTGTACATTTTCCCCCGTCTGAAAGCCCTGGGGCCGCTACCCCATTGCACCATCAACCTTTGACACCGTCTTTCGAACGCGCATACCCTTGAACTTAACTCCTATCTAGCTACTGAATTCACCCAGCTAATCCGGATACTATGCCCTGGGGCAGTGTTTCAGAGACAACATTGTTTGCCTGGTGCTGTCGCACAGTTTCACGGTTCCAATCCGAAGCCTCAAGTTGATGCCCCACTGAAGGGATGAAATCTATTTTTTCATCACGCTTTGCGGATAAAGTGACTTTATAGGCACACTTTATAGCGTTTCTCCAAGTACCTATAAATCATTTAATCCGCACATTGTGATGGAAAATATTGTTCGATATATGTGCGTGGGGTTCGTCCTATAAAGACCCGGCTAAAGAACACTTTACTGCACTTGGATCGAAATATAATATTCCAGAATTATCCTCTCTACACTGTTCAAACTGTTTGAAATTTCTGTTTGAACTCACTTTCCATTAAAAACGCTCACTATATTTATCGTTTATCGTGAAAATTCAAGTGTAATCGCCCAATTGTATCAATTCGACAATTTCATTTTCCAACTGATAAATTAAAAAATTCAATACAACAAAATTTTAGTAATGCTGGATTTTTTTTTCATCAAGTGCGAATTTTTAATTTTTTTATTTTTTGTCTCAAAAAAATTTCTAATTAGTTGTCTAGAAAATGCAATTATTCTTCCAGCAAGCTTATCATTTTCATATTTATTAAATGTAATAAATGATATTTATTAAAGGCATATTTACTTTATCTGCTGGAGTGCATCTTGGATATTAGTACAAGAATCGTATTCCTCGGAAATGTAATTAATAAATGACGCCTGCGCTGGCGTCGAAATATCGAATTTCGTTATCAGAGCCTGGGATTTAAATGCACCCGGCGCTGCAAATGCGTTATGCAACTGTAGTTAATATATATGGGACATAAAAAAAGTGATGAAGAATCACGCAAGAGGTATGAGAAATACGTTGTAGTGTACCTTGGTGGGTATTTTCGGGAGAATTTTATGGGCGAGCGCACACAACTCCAAGGATATTGCGCTCAAGAGTGTCAAGGATGATGCGCCTCGGAAGCTGGACCCCCTCGGCAATTATCGCATTCGTCGATCAAATTTATACGAGTGCTTTCGGGAATATTCCTTGATGAATTATAAAAATCGTTGGCATGATTTATGAGGCTCAATGGACACTCGAATGTGGAATTACATCAGGATTTAATTCTACCCGCCAAACAGCTGAAAGGCCAATTGGAAATTGGAGAGTGCTAGAAAATTTGATGACGTATGAAAATTGCCAGGAAGATTCATAAAATTTGATTGTCCAATAAATATGTGGCTCAGGTTTGAATTCCGTATTTATGTGCCATTGTTTCTCGGCCATTCCAACAGTAAAATGCCATAAAATCCAGAAATCCGAAAATTGAGGAAAAACCGCTTTCAAAGTAAATAAAAAACTTCATTCAACATTTTCTGATATATTTCCTAAAAAATGTATTATTTGTATTTAGTAAATAATTTATTGAACTGAAATTAAGAATTTATTCATTTCACGCAAACAGTCGTCTTGAAAAATTATAATTTCATTCATTATATTATTATATTTCATTTATTATATATTCTAAAAGCTTAATTTTGTGGTATTTAAACAAATAAGTTTAGTAACAAATTTTTGTGTCCTTAGAGGAGTTACTTTTGTGGGCGGTTAATTGGGACTGGATAATTCGATTTGGGTCCTTCTATTTTTATTATTTGATATCATTCAATGAAGATGAATATACACGCTAATGAACCGTTCACGGCAACAGATCATAATGGTAAACGGTCAACTAATTATCCAAGTTCGAAAACTTTCTTGATGATAAGAATTTTCCTAGAATTACTTCCCGCAATATCGACGCATCGGAGTTTCAAGATTGCCTGGAACGACGTTAATTAATATGAATTCCTCCGAAAAGTCTCCGAGAACTTATGAGATGCTTTACTCAGGATCACAGCGAGTATTGTGATGTATTCGAGCGAACGATAATAGAGGAGAATACTCTCCTGGGAGTTTTTCGACTTCTTCAGAATTATGAGTAAGTTTGTCGATAAGTTTACCGGATGGTTTTGCCTCATAAGCGTAAAAAAACGAGGTATCATCATTGCACTCCCATTGGAGTGGAGCAATATATCAATGGCTTAATAACAAACAAGCGTAAGTGCCAAAAAGCTTTAAATCATCAGCTGAGGCATCAATTGGAAATAGAGAATGTAAGATTGAAAATTTATTGTTGTACTGGGAGAAAATGTATCTATTTAGGATTAACCAATTAGTCCTGGAGAAGGTGTCAGCAATGCCTCTTCATGCTGATTTATACCGATGGATATCCAATGAAATCCACTGAATCTCTCACTATCGGATGCGTACCACGACACAGTATGTAAAGAAGCTGAGAATCAAATTCCCCCCACATGTACCCAACAAAACGACCGAAAACATCACGCATTATTCTCATACCAAAGTTGGCACACATTTACGGTAAAATAGGGGGAACAACCGGGGGCTGAGGAACATTGGCATTCTCAGACTGTGCCGTAATACACCTCTGCAAGCTTTGCATATTCCGAGATAGTGGAACCACGAATAAAAAAAATCATGCGATGAAAACTATACTTTGCAATGCACGTTTTATTCATGAAAACAAAAATCACAATGCAATCAGAATGCGTTATCTTTTCAGTATGATTTATGTTGCCAATCCTTGACGGAGGCCAATTCATGCGGTGCATACGGTAAAATATTAGGGAATTGAGAATTTTTTTTCTTTTCGGAAAGTGACATGAGATTTCTGTAATTTATCGTTAATAAATCATGATGAATTTAATTAACATTTTTAATTAAAATCCAATTTAAACGTATCATTAAAAATTTGGATGACATTGTGATTCAATTTTCGAATTTTTCGGATTCGTAAAGTTTCGAATCCCCATGGAAAACTTTGTAAAAAATATATATATAATATATTACATATACTCGGGCAATTCTATGTAAAAATATCGAATTGGAAAATTATATATTTTTCCATACGTGAACAATTATTGTATCAATTATTATCCATTAAGGAATGATTCATTTTTTATTAGCAACAAAAATATTTATTAAACTTTTCGGATTGTGGTGAATACCGTTAAGATCAATTATACCATCATTCTTTCTCTGAACGACAGACGAATGAGCACGAAGGAAAAATATTCTGGCAAATAACCATATTTGAGAAATGCCTAAAATGCCTGCATAAATTTCCCATTTAAATTCATGTCGCGAACTAATTTGTTTGACACGAGTCAATTTAA